TACTAAACCTCTGTTTCGTTTAGTTAAATGTACGATACTTGCATTGCCTTGGCCTGGAACCAGCATACGGATGCAGTCTCGGATGAAAGTCTTGATGGTTTCAAGGTTTTGGATAAAACACTATACAATACAAAAGACAATATACAAGAACAGTAACAACATAGTCAGTGACCTGAAGGATATGTGTGTTCATTCAAAGAAAGGTTTACCTATGAATTAATGAGAGGAGAGTCCCTTTTTATGGGCATTATGTTTTTCCTATGGTTGAAAGATGGTGAGAGGGAGAACTCTCAACATGCCATTAGGCCGTAAATGTTTATCTGATCTGGCTGAGGTGTCCTGGTTGCCATGGTAACCAGGGGCCTGGGGTCATTCCCAGACATGCTGGCACCCAGTATGTTTATTGTGTGAGGGGTCTGTGATTATTTGTTAATCTAATGAACAAATGTGTGTCTGATTGGTCCAAATGCTACAGTTGATAATTAAATCTATTATACAAAGATTGCTAATGACTTTGTTTACATAACACCTCAGTGGGATTTTTTTTATAAATAAATGATTCAATATTTAAATGTACAAAATAATTTACAAACGGAACAAAATCGAATTATGAAATTGCGTTAACTTCATCAAATCAATTTTATATAACACTTTACAATATTTTTACAGCATTTATTAGTTTTGGTTAATCTCAATTTCCATATATGCTAATACATTTTTACAAGTTTTATAAATTAACATTTGTGTATTATGAACAAACACAAATTAAATACTATGGTTTTAACATGTGCAACTGATGTCAACAATAATGTTACCCTTGTTGTAAAATGTTTCCAAATTTGGATGTTTTAGATTTTATGCTTGTTTGTTTTTAAAGAGCAAACGTGTGTGTGTGTGTGTGTGTGTGTGTGTGTGTGTGTTTCAGATCTGGAGGTGTATGTGCTCAACACAGAGATGGAGCTAAAGGATCTGTCCTTTCCGAACTCGTATGACAGCGACAGCACCATCTACGTATCGGCATCCACCATCAAACAGTACAGCCGCAATGGTCAGTCTCTCTCTCTCCGTCGGTCTGTCTCAGATGCTCACACTCTTCACGAGGTTTCTCCACGCAACATGCAACCAGGCCGGTTCTCCCGACGTTGCCATGGCAACAGTCACCATGGTCACCGGCTCCTGTGGCCGTTGCCATGGTGACGTGTGTGTGATGGTGCAGGTTATTTCGAGAGCTGTGTGGGATCGATCGCAGCCGAGCGAGTCGTGTAGATCTGACACGTGACCATGTGTGTGTGTGTGTGTCCATCAGGTCAGGTGAAGGTGGTTTTCACGCTCTATAAGAACCTGGGCTCGTTCCTCTCCACTCAAAACGCCACGCTGAAGACGGACGGCGAGCAGAAGTCAGGAGGACAGAGTCTGGCCGTCAACTCCCACATCATCTCTGCCTCCATGAACAAAGAGTCCAGCCGAGTGTTTCTGACCAAACCCGTCGAGTTCACACTGAGACACCTGCAGGTGCAAACACACACTGCAACCACTGCAACACACACACACACACACACACACACACACACACACACACACACACACACACACACACAC